CCTTAACATCCCTCCTCCCAACTGCAAGGCCCCGGCAACTCTGGAGTCCAGGGCTGGGAAAAACTGCCCAGCGCTTTCCTTCCCACTGCAGTTGTTGGAAGAGGCATGTCCTGCCCCATCTCTCAGCCAACCTGATTAGTCCTTAACATCCCTCCTCCCAACTGCAAGGCCCCGGCAACTCTGGAGTCCAGGGCTGGGAAAAACTGCCCAGCGCTTTCCTTCCCACTGCAGTTGTTGGAAGAGGCATGTCCTGCCCCATCTCTCAGCCAACCAATGCTTGGCAGGAGCGGGGCCTCTTCCCAGATGCGGAAGAGTGCTTCACTGCGCAGCAGGAGAGCTGCGCAAAGCCCAGCATGGCAGCCTTATACTCAGCTGACAGTTGGGAAGCAGTATAGGGCTAGGTGAGGGAGGCAGGGCAGGCACTGGGGGCTATGGGGGCAGGGCTAGTGCTGGGGGACTCTAAGAGGCAGGTGGCGCTGACACAGGGGAATCTGGGGACAGGGCTAATATTGGGGACTTGGGGCCGGCACTGGGGAGGATTCTGGGGGGGTTGGGTGTAGTGAGGCTCTGGAAACAGGAGGCTGGCACTGAGGGGGTCTGGTGGGGGACTGCCACTGGGGCGGTTGGGTGCAGGGGACTCTGGAGTCAGTGGCTGGCGCTGTGGTATAGTGGAGGGGTAGGGGGGCTCTAGGGATTAGGGTTGGCACTGGGGGGCTCTGGGAACTGGGGCTTTTGGCAAATATGCAAATAAAATGTTACTGGTCTGCCAAAAGCGTGTGAAAGGGTTTGCCGGTCCCTACTATAAAAATAATAATTGGGAACCACCAACATAATACATGCCCCTTTTTTTAGAACATCACAGCAACAAACCACAATGGTGATGCCATAAGTCGATTAGCTATTTTACTTCAGCATAATTCAGTTTTTCCAAGAAAACCCCATTCTACACTTGTTTTCTCAAAAAACAGAAGTGCCAGTGAGTTCAATGGAGCTTACTCCAAATTAAGTGAATTCTAAACCCAGTCTGTTTTAAGCTTTTTTAGAAACTTGGTTAAAGCAATGATTTTTTTGGTGATTCAAATTACCTTGATTTAAAGTCACCAAAAAATTATTGCTTTAACTAAGTTTAAATCACCTTGATTTAAATCAATCCATTCTGCTAGAAAGCTAGTCAGATCACTCAGCCAACTAGACAAAGAGAGACAGGACAAGAACCGAAGACTGAAGTTCAAGTACAATCTACTGGTGAAAAGCCTAGCTCTCATTCCCATGTGCTGATGAGGCAGTAAATACTGCTCCAGACCCAGCTCAGGGATCCATCCTTCATTAACCTCTCTGAAATCTGAAGTACATATTAATCATCCAATAATTATGTAGAATACTATGATGATGGGCTCAAGTGCTTCATAATTATATGGGAGGTACAGAATTATTATTCCTATTTCACAGCTGGATAACTGATACAAATGATAAATTAAATTATTTGCCCAAGGTCACACACAGTAGGTTTATGACTGCCCTAAAATTGAATCCTGGTCTCTTGAGATTCAGTTTAATATGGTCATATAATACCTACTCAGTGCCACCCACTGTAAAGCAAAGTGACACCATCCTGTTAAATGTATGAATTTATTCTCTCTCAATGGATTATTTTTCATCTGGGATAGTAATACAAAAGTGTTAGAGGCTTTTTAAAAAATATGATCACACAATCTATTATGTAGCCTCTGAAAACAGCTAGTCCTAAAAAAATGTAAAAAATTGATATATTGAAGCTGGACATATCTCCTCAAAATCTGCACAGTAAAAAATGCATAGCACATTTTTATTGTTTCAACTAATTTAATTTACAAAAATAAAGCTTGTCTCTCCAGGTACAATACTGGCTAGCCAACAGGACACCAGTTCATATTAATGATATTTTCACAGTGACCTGGAAACTTTACCAAAGAGTTCTGATTAATTGTTGCCTGGTAGTCAATAAGGTATGTTCAAGTGGCCTCAATGCTATCTTCCTTTAAACAAGTCTCAAATTAACACATCACAATGAAAATCCAACAGAATAGGGTAGTCTTCATAATCAAACAGGAAAAGTTTTTTTTTAATCTGTACAGCTATTTGATTATCAAGAAGCAATGAGAAATCCAGGTGAATACAGAAACTATGAGTATTTGAAGAATTATTATTCTTATTAGGTAGAACTTAGGCATCATGAGCTAAGACCTCACTGTGTTAGGTACTGAATCAACAGTATTGGATTGCCGAAAACCCTTAGTAGCCAAATTGCTATAGTACTCTTAAGATTTCATTTTTAAAAACAGACTAATCTCTAACAGTAATAAAGCTTTTGTGTACATTACTTGGCTATTAGATTACTGTGTTTTAGTCGTTAAGAAGTTGACAAAAACATAGAACAAGGACTCTCCAATAGTAATATTTCTCAGCAAGAAAACCTAGCAAGAATAATCCAATATGTATACAACACTGTCTGAAAGCATTTGTAAGCTCTAACACACACACTAAACATCACAAAATTCAAACATTAATTCAAATGGCACACACAAGCAATGCAATGGCCTGATCCTCCCAACTTCAAACAAACATAACCCAGAGAACATCCAAACTGAGTACCATTCTGAAAAGACTGTAGATTCAACTCCACAAAATGAAGCATCTGCCAATGAATCAGGAACACACAATGGTGACCACTGATTACTGGAAGAACATGTATGTGTCTATTGACAAACACTTGAGAAGGTGGCTTAGTGGCTAGAGCACTAGACTGGGATTCAGAGGACCAAAGTTCTTGCCAGCTGTGCTGCTAACTTGGTAGGAGACCTTTGGCAAGTCAGTATGCTTCAGGTTTTCTCATCTGACACTTACCTCCTTTAAAAAGGACTTTGGGATCAACTGATTTAAAAAAAAAAAAAGTATTTCTATATTATTACAATGCTCCTAGGATTCTCTCATTTTTTCACTTTGGCAAATATGCACGTATTGCCATGAGAAAAAAAGTATTCTGTTCCAAACCAACCACTTCATTCCATATTCAAGAAAAATTTCAGTACACACTATTTAAGCAAATTTTGTATTTAAAATGAAAGGCAGCATTAGGCCACATCTCCAATGGGAAAGCATATTATATTAGACAGTACTATGATTTTTTTTTACCTAACATGATAAACGACTAGTGTTTGTATAATGTTTGTATAAAGTTATGTATAATGTTTGTTAAGACACAAAGGGATAATCTATACCCAAATTGGAACCAGAGTAACTATATCAGTTTTAATTCACAATTTACTGAATGTCTACATATAACTACTTATTTCAGATTAAAAGTGTCCTATTTCAGTTTAATGTAAACTAGTAAAAAAAAATCAGAATAGAACATAATCTGAACTTAGACTTCATACAGATTTCCATTGTGAATTAAAACTGAGTTAGTTACTTTGGCTCCAGTTTGTACACAAGCCTCTCATTAAAAGATTTCCTAACATGATGAATATACCTAAACAGGCTGTACAAAATTATATAAAACAATAGAATAGTGAGTGCCATTTGGAAGTCTGCTAAAACCATGTAGGTTACTGATAACCAAGTTTTTATGATAAAAGATACGCATGTTTTCTAAACATACTTGTTTCCATACAACTGAAGTGAGATTTTGCTGCCAAAAATATTTTAACACATTTATGTTTCCCTAAAAGGTTTACTCACTGGAATTCAAAGGAGCTATGCCAGTTCATTAGACAAAATTTCCATGAAATGGGATTACTTACAAGAACATAATAAAATGAAGTGATAACTTTTGAATTTCATAGAATTTACAAATTGTCAAAGACATGCAAAAGTTCTACTGTTACTTCTGCTACAAACACAATATTAGGGAAATAACAATACCTAGGCAAGTATTAATTCCTGAAACACAACATTTATTCTTGTCTCTGAGTAAAGCTTTTCTATTTCCTAATTAAAGGAAGGAAATGAAATAACACCTTGCCTTTTTCCCTTAGCAGTGTAAACATACTGATATCTCCTGGAAATTCGTTTCCAAAGAGACCACTCCAGAAAGAGAGGGAAAAACATAGCATGTGAAGCTTTAAAAGCATTTATGAACACAGAAGATTGTATCGCTTCTGGGACAGTAATGATTTCCATAAAGTTTCTCCTCGTCACACTGCAGGACACAGTACACTAACAGTAGTGGCAGCATTTAACTTGTGATGTGTATGCCAAGTCTGTAACAGTCATTTAACAGATGAAACCTAATAAATTGAAGTTATTCAACACAATTTGTTTCTCGTATGCTGGAAATCTAATGAGTGGAGGAGCTCTGAGCAAGGGGAAAGGGTAAAGCTATTTCTGCTGTGGCTCAGGGCAACACCTGCAAAACCAAATAGTCCCAGGCGGTGAGGAGATAACAGGACAACGCCAAGGTCAATCTGCAACACGGTATGAAGCCCCTAACATCCCAGCAATTGCGGACCCTTGCAACATCCTCCACCCATGACTCAAAGCGCCCATACCGCCCCAGCTGTGCCCCACCAGAGCGCTCCCGCACCACCACCCCCATCCCACAGCAGGGGCCCGCTCAGACAGCCCCCTTCCCCTGCCACCATCATCCCGACCCCCAAGGGAAAAAGGAAACGGCCGCGCCCACAGCTCCCCTCCACTCCCGCAGCCCAGCGGAAAGAGCGGCGGGCGGGGAGGAAGGCGCTTTGCCCTCAGATCCTCCCACACTGGCCCGACCCCACTCCAGGACAGTCTCCTCGGGCAGGAAGATGGCGAAGGAACCGGGGGCGGGAGCCGAGGCCCCCGCACTCACCTGTCACCAACGGCCGGGGCCGGCTCGCCAGTGAGCTCCGCGCAGGAAGTGGAGGGCACGGGGAAGGAGGGCGGTCGGGGCCGGGGGCCTAGAGAGGAAGGGGGCCAGGGCACGCAGAAGGAGGCGGTGTAACGTCGGAAACAACTGCCTATCACAAATCTATACCCAGGGCGTACTGAGCATGAACAGTGCAACTGAGCATGCTCAGTAGCGTCGGAAACAACTGCCTATTACAAATCTATACCCAGGGCGTACTGAGCAGGAACAGTGCAACTGAGCATGCTCAGTAACGTCGGCCCAGGCGTACTGAGCATGCTCAGTAGCGTCGGAAACAACTGCCTATCACAAAGCTATATCCAGGCGTACTGAGCATGCTCAGTAAGAGGCCCTCACTCTGCCCTTACATGGCTTCAGATGTTGTTCCCGGCTCTTTACCCTCATTAAAAAAGGGCTCAGGGGGGCATATTGCAGGGGGGGGGAGGGGCATGGTGTGAGCAGGGGGACACAAATTTACCAATTTGTGGGTCAATTTACTTTCTGGAGCGGCAGAGCAGGGGCTCGAAGGGAAAAATGGGGGAAGGGGTTGATTGGAGTTGTGAGACGCGCCAGCCCCTGTAGCAGGGTTTTGCCTCCACCCGAGGAGGTACCAAGGGGGTAACTGTTACTCAGCGGGTGAGCCCTCTGTCAAGGGTCCAAATCTGGGAGTGGGGGCACAAAGGAGGCGGAGAGGAGTTTTTATTTGCCTGTTCTGAGAGACCCGTTCCTGAGCACCGGGCAGCTTCCTGTTTGCTCTTAAAGGTGCCAGCCCCTCCAGCCTCTCCCTCTCTGCACTGCTATAGCACATGGGGCAAAATGCTGCAGGCACCCCACACGCAGCTATGAGGAGCATGTAACACATTTTGAAGATTTAAGAGTCTCAATCAGTTAATACATACTGGCTACATCTAGACTGGCATGATTTTCCGGAAATGCTGTTAACGGAAAAGTTTTCTGTTAAAAGCATTTTTGGAAAAGAGCGTCTAGATTGGCACGGACGCTTTTCCACAAAAGCACTTTTTGCGGAAAAGCGTCCATGGCCAATCTAGACATGTTTTTGCACAAAAAAATCCCGATCGCCATTTTCTTAATCGGGGCTTTTTTGCGTAAAACAAATCTCAGCTGTCTACACTGGCCCTTTTGAGCAAAAGTTTTGCACAAAAGGGACTTTTGCCTGAATGGGAGCAGCATAGTATTTCTGCAAAAAGCACTGATTTCTTACAGTAGGAAGTCAGTGCTTTTGCGGAAATTCAAGCGGCCAGTGTAGACAGCTGGCAAGTTTTTCCAGAAAAGCGGTTGATTTTCCGGAAAAACTGGCCAGTCTAGACACAGCCAATGTCTCATAACAGTTCAAATATGCGTGTTATCTCTTGCAGTGAGTCCCTGAATTGCATTTCTCATCCTTCTAACCCGTTTTAGTGATAGCTTTGCTCCTTTATAAATGTCATGTCTATTACTCTTCTTAGGGGGCTGCATCTCCTGCTTACTATGCTCACCAATCAAATCCCCCTCTAGTGCGGGGGTTTGAATGAATGGTGTGGGAGTGTGGGGTTCCGGCTTGAGAGGTGGGTGTCACTTGCTTGCTTTTATGTGGCTCCCAGCACTGTAGCTCAGGCCCCATCTAAGAACCCTTTTAAAATCCAGCTAATTTATTTTTCATTAATCACTTGAATTAATTGCGAACCTTACTTTTCATTTGATTCTAAAACTTGAGAGTTTGCCCTCACCTGCACTGCTGGCCATGTTCACTTTTGTTCACCCTACTCCAAAAAGATTTAGCTGATATGGGGAGATTTCCAAGCTAGGAAGTGAAAATGATTAGACATCCTGAAAGGTTCTGCGTGAAGAGAGACTGGACTGGTTGGGACTGCTTTGTGCTGCCAGCAGACAGACCCCGTGACATGCCAATATTACACATGCCAATGTATAAGCAGTTACACATTGGGATCTCGGATGGTGTAGGGGACCCAGTCCCAGCAGCACTTCCCTGGTGATGCAGGCCCCCCATGTCTGAAGTGGGAGCTGGAGCAGCCCGTGCCCAGAGGGGATGGCGCCATGGCTGGCTGCAGCGGCAGTGGCATGTGGTTGCTGATGTTGTCATGATATCAGTCTATCATCCAGCATGAAAATTCTTTTATTTCTATAGTGAGTGATTACTCTGAACATTTTACTATTTGGCTGTACTAGCATTACTCATCCTGCTGTGATAGTACATGTACACTCAGGTCGGCCTGGTGTGTGTCGTCCCTTTCTGTGCACTCTATAGAAGGGGGGGAAGTCTGCCAGCCTTTCCATAACATGTTGGTGAATACCTATCCACTGCCCCCTCCCCCGTGTCTGCCATTCTTTTTCCAGGCAGTCCTCTCAGTGAGGGTCATCCCCTTTCTCATGTGGCACCCACCGAGGGTCTGAATCCCTTTTGCTGCCACTGCCACTAAAGTCCTGTTCTTAGGTGGGCCCTGCTGCATGAATGAAACTCCTTCACCCCCTTTGGGCTCAGCACCTTCCCCAAGTCTTTGCTCTCTCCCCCTCCCTCCCCCTCCCGGCCAAGGGGTTGAAACATGTCCCATGTGGTCCCCACCACAAAGCTCAGTACTATTCTCAAGCTGCCCCTGCTGTGGGTATGAAGCCCTTTCGCCTTTTGAGGGCCTTGGACTGCAAGCAGAGAAAGTACTACATAAGTGACAGTTCTGAGAAGGAGGGAGAGGTGAACAGGAGCCCTTTGGACCAGCCACTGCTACTGGATATGCCAGAATCAGACCTCCAAACCCAACTGCTCACGTGAAAACCCGACAAGCTAAACAGCCTGGACAATGAAGGTGCTCAAGGCTCCCAGGAGTCGGACATGATGAACGGAAAAGAAGTGAAACAGGAAAATTAAATTTCAGGGGGTAGCAGAGTTAGTCTGTACAGGATAAATTTAAAAAACAAAAATGGTCTGGTAGCACTTTATAGACTAACAAAACATATACATAGTATCATGAGCTTTCATGGGCACAGCCCACTTCTTCAGGTGACCAGAGTTTTAAATTTAGGAGGTGCAGACCCAAAGTAAATAGGGGAGAAAGGAGAGGAGGGGAAACAAGGAGGGGGGAAAAGGAGGGGGAAAAAGGAGGGGGTGGGAAACAAGGAGTAGAGTGTATGAGAATATCAAAGTGAAAAACAGGAAAGCAGAACTGGCAATCAGTAAGCACCTGAAGATTGGATAGTGGATTATATCAGGGACATGCACTCCTCTTCCCCCTCAGTGGTGGGATTCCCATTTCCAAACCATAAAATAATAAAACGGATTTATCTAAACTTTACCCTACTTACAGATAGTGATGAGTCTTTTCTTGGAAAGAGAGACATGTCTGTCCCCCTCAGTAGTTGAAGAAACACTGCCCGGGGACAAAGGAAGGGGGGAAAAAAACAAAATTTCCTTTGTCCCAGTTTGAAATTCCTACCTATATTTCCATTGCAAAATTGCGACTGTGGAGGGTAAGAGAATAAAATTGGAAACTCTCTAAGGCAAAGTGTCAAGCAATATGTATAGCATATTTCATATGAAACCGATTAAAGAGCCACCAGCATCAGTTTCCAAAAGTACACCAGAGGAAACTATTGGCACAGAATTTCTTGTTGTTGAAGCAGAGCCATACTTAGGAAATCATGGAAAATGGGAGGGGGAAGTATCTCACAAGTGTCCCAAAACAGTGACAGGCAGAGAGGTCACAGCATTGGACCACAGGAGGTTATAGTAAAATATATTTCTGAAAGCAATACAAGTGAGGAGGAGGAAGAGGAGAAAGACAATGATACTGTTGCCATGGAGTTTGGGGAAGGAAAAGAGTGGATTCAGAAAGGTAAATTCTTTACACACTGTGTGATTGTGTCTGCCATTTTAATGCAAATTCTGAAATGGTGAACCCCATCTAACAGAAATGTTCCTTCCTATCTGGAGTATGCTGCATTTGTCCTTATTAAACTTCATCCTATTTACCTCAGACCATTTCTCTAGTTTGTCCAGATCATTTTGAATTATGATCTTATCTTCCAAAGCACTTGTAACCCCTCCTAGTTTGGTATCATCCACAAACTTAGTAAGTGTATTCTCTCCAAATAAGATCCATGGAGAACCCCACTTGTTATGCCCTTCCAGCATGACTCTGAATCATTAATAACTACTCTCTAAGGGTACGTCTACACTACAGTGTTATTTTGAAATATCTAATTTCAAAATATCTTATTTCAAAATAATGCGTCTACACACAAAATGCATTTCAAAATAGCATTTTGCTATTTCGAAAAAAGTGTATCCACGCTGATTAGACGCTGAATTCCATTGGCCAGCTGAAACCGGTTCCTGCAGAGCATCAGGTCAGGAGTTACTTTGTGTGGCTGCTGCCTGAGGCTATATGAGGCCTGTGCTTAAAGGGACCCTCCTGGACAGCTGGTTCTTAGGTTACCCTAAGCGACTGGTGGGACCACATCATCCTGGAGCGCTGGGGAGAACAACAATGGACCCAGAACTTTAGGATGAAGGAGGACACCTTCATGGAGCTCTGCGAGTGGCTCACCCCTGCTCTGCAGAGACGGGACATGCACATGAGGCCCACCATTCCCTTCCAGAAGCGTATGGCCATCGCCCTCTGGAAGCTCTCCACAGCGGATAGCTGCTGATCCGTGCGGAACCAGTTCGACGTGGGGAGCTAAAATGATTAGGACAACTAAAATGATTAGGGGTTTGGAACTTGTCCCATATGAGGAGAGGTTAAAGCGACTGGGACTTTTCAGTTTAGACAAGAGGAGACTGAGGGGGGATATGATAGAGGTCTATAAAATCATGAGTGGTGTGGAGAGGGCTGATAAAGAAAAGTTATTTATTAGTTCCCATAATAGAAGAACTAGAGGACACCAAATGAAATTAATGGGTAGCAGGTTTAAAACTAATAAAAGAAAGTTCTTCTTCACACAGCGTGTAGTCAACCTGTGGAACTCCTTGCCAGAGGAGGCTGTGAAGGCTAGGACTATAATAGAGTTTAAAGAGAAGCTGGATAAATTCATGGAGGTTAGGTCCATAAAAGGCTATTAGCCAGGGGATAAAATGGTGTCCTTGGCCTCTGTTTGTCAGAGGCTGGAGAGGGATGGCAGGAGACAAATCGCTTGATCATTGTCTTCGGTCCACCCTC